GCGATCCACAGCACTAAGTTGATGTATTTCCTCAGCGACCAGCACAGATCAGCTCTAGGCATGACGAAGTGGATATCGTCCTCTTTTGGAAGACCAAACAAAGTAGTTTCGCTTTCACAACGAAGCACACAGCGTCTTCATTACATGGCGGCATTGGCAACAACAATACATACTACAGCGAGAATAAAAGTTACGCCTTCTTTCTTTGCGTGAACATTTGGGCGGCGTTATGCAAATCTTCCCACATAGTGAGGTAGATATGTGGGGGCGTGTTAGAACGAGCTGTTTTAGGTAGGCGTGGTTGACTCTTAACTTTTATAAAGAATATCTCTTTGGATTTGAGACTTTAGTCTTTACAACTTTACAGATCTTCTTTATGCACCAAGAGCTTGTAACACTCCAAAGAGAAAGGAAAAAATGAAATTGCATCATATGACCCCTTTAACCTTTTTGTATTCTCTATGACAAGGCTGATTAGATTTTGATGTTCATTTCACAAATACTAAAACTGCAAATTACCCTTCCCTTTTCAACCATTAACCACTGATAGCTGTTTTGCTCATATTATAAGTTTTTGTAAGCACCACAGTAGATAAACCTCATATTCTGTCAATACACAGTTTTGTGCATGTTGTGTCTCTTCAGGTTAGAACCCACAACTTCAGGTTTTAATAAAAAAAAGAGGAGACCTGTATTTAGAGGGAACAGTTTTTAAATGTTACTTATCGTTACACCGGGATCACACTCCCAAAATGTTCATTGCCATACTATGAGAGTTAGAATATTGTTTTTTTTCATTGCATAACACAAAACACAAAATAAATCAGAACTGCCCACAGCTGCTGTTAGGTTTTGTTCTGTGGCATGCATACATCATTTAACAGGTCAAATGTTTGTTGGACTTTCAAATTACTTGATGCATTTCTTAAGTAATTTTTTTTCTCTCTCTAGGAGTATCATTTGTCACTGCTGTTCATTCATAATGCAGATATCTTGTCAACAAATCTTAATTTCTTAATCTTATTTTAAGAATGAAACATTGCTCATATTATGGTTGTTTGGCATTGCAATTGAATTTGTCATTTATATCTATATCACTTCTGAGTTGTATCAGGCTTAATGAGATGATAATTAATACTAAGCTCTTGAATACTAAAATCACGAGGCTCCTGAAGTGTAATGAGGTAGAGCAGCACACCCTCATATACTGTGAAGTATCCATTGTGAATGCTTGTAGTGTTGCAGTGATAACTTAAAGTGATAGTTTACACCAAAAAATTAATTCTGTGATCAATTAGTCATGCTGTTCTGTAAAACATAGAAAGTCGTTGTCATTCAGGTTTGAAACGACATGAGGGTGAGGGAATAATGACAAAGTATTTGGGGTGAACGATTCCTTTAAAAAAGTTTGAATAAACTCAGTTTGCTGAATGCTTATTAAAGACATCAAGCTGATTAGATGACATTATATTAGAGTGCCTGGATGAATTGCACATTCACTTATGGTTGTGTAGAACGTTGCTGCCTACGCAGACATCACTGGCTGCCGTTACGGAGTCATTCAGACTAGTGTCTTAACGGCACCATAAACCAAAGCTGTAAATGCTTTGACAAAATTAAAGGGGTCCTATTATGCTCTTTTACAAAGTTGATTTTGTTTTGGGGGTGTACTAGAACATGCTCTCATGCTTGGTGGTTCGAAAAACGCATTATTTTTCACATAATTTACATTATTACAACACCTCTCTCCCCAGGCAGGCACAAACGGCTCGATTAGTTCCAGCTTTGATGAAGGTCCGCCTTCCGAAAAACAAAATGTGATGGGATTGGTTAGCTGTCCCAGTGCGTTGTGATTGGCGAACAGCTTAGACGGTGTTTCAGTACTGCCACGCCCCCTTGCTCCGTCGTTCAAACAAAAGCTTTTGGGAATCCGGCACTTGTCATTACTACTCGTGATGTGAAAGCTGTCCTCAGTAAAATGCGTAGCACACAATAGCAAATTGGGGTTATAATACTCAGGAACAGAGTTAAAAAGTAAATTGCAACCACTGTTTCCTGACATCATCCGCTTTCGGAAG